ACACACACACACACACACACACACACACACACACACACACACACACATGCACTTGATATCACCAGTATCAATAAAAATACAACATTAAGTTAAAAGATTAATTTAGCTGACCCTATTTAACACATTGTTTTTTTTTTCTAATATTCTTTGTTATATCACTAGAAAGTGTAAAGAAACCACAACTCTAAGTTTGTGTCCAGCAGGAACCTTTCATGATGTTGAGGATGAGGCTGAGGAGAACGCCTGCTGAAGGGGGTGGGGGGATGTACATCTGGTACTCTCCCAAAGGGACAGCCAGCGCATCAGTTACATTAACTTTATACATTTCCAAGTCCTTTAGCGTGAGGAATCCTCCTGAAACAAAAAGAGCATAAAAAAAAGATCTTTAATCCTGACTGAAACCAAACTAAACTCAAATCAACTGCACAAAAACTACAACCTTTAAAGAACGCTAACACAGGAGTCTAAGCGACTGCCTCTTGGCTTTAAAGAGTCAAATAGATGAAGCCCATCTGACATTACCTGCCTCCTGTACATCAAGGATTAAATCCTCTGCTATTTTTCCAGTATAAAAACTGTCAGCGCCATTATTTGCAGTGATGTCCAAAGTGTCAGCCAGTTTCTCAAACTTCACTTTGTCTCCAGTATTCAGCAAGTTTCCTTTCTCATCTGAAAATAATTCCCTAAAAGTACAAACATAAGAGGGAAAAGTTAAAAATGTAAAACAGCTCATGTATTTAGTGCCATTGAGTGTCAGGTTTTGTTCTGTACCTCAGAGCCCGAGTCTCGTTTGTGTTATGGATAGCTGAGATGAAACTAGCCATAACAGCAGGAATTGTGATTCCCTCTCTGGCCAGCTTGATGGTCGGCTGGAAGAGGTCGGCCCACGGCAGTTTTCCATAAAGCTTGTGTACTTTTTCATAACCTCGAATTTCTCCTGGAACGCCAATCCACTTCCCACCTGCATGGATAGAAGAAGGAACGATCAGTGGTAGAAATCAAGCTGTAAATTAATTTTGTTATTGAATAGTTTTGAGAGGAAAAAAAAATCAATTTTAACTTGAGTAGACATAATCTCGCAGGAAATATAGGATCATTTAAATTACTCATTAAAAAATTTTTTTTTTTCAATAATTTTCTACTGGCTTTGTTTTTTTTAAAATGCCATTGTTATCGTATAGTTTAAGCTTCAGACCAGTACAAAAGAAAGTTAAATCTTGGATGCAGAATAGAGGCCCTATACTGAAAGACTGTTTTGAACGCACAGACTGACAGGTCTTCAGAGAAGCTGCTGAAAATGAAGGGGCACTAGACCTGGAGCAATACACATCCTCAGTCCTGGGGTACATTAGTAAATGTGCTGATGACATCACCACCATCAGATATGTAAAGAGTTACACAAACAGAAAGCCTTGGCTGAATGCAGAGGTTCACACCCTGCTGGAAGCTAGGAACACTGCATTCAGGTCTGGAAACTCACAGGAGCTGAGAAGAACAAGGAAAGAGCTGGTTGCTGGTATTAAGAAGGCCAAGGCTACATATGCGCAAAGGATCCAGGGTCAATTCACCTCACAAGACCCTTGGAGCATGTGGAGGGGCATTGAGTGTATAACAGATTATAAAAGCAGGAGTGAACAATGCCCTAGAGACCCATCATTGCCTGATGCCCTCAACAGGTTCTACGCACTATTTAAAGACCCAAACAGACCACCCAGCACTAGACTCACCTCACCACCGGAAGAAGAGCTTCTCAGTGTGACCTCAGTCAAAGTGAGGAGTACTTTCAGGAGGATTAATCCTCACAAAGCAACCGGCCCAGACAACATCCCCTGGAAGGTACTGAAAAACTGTGCCGATCAGCTCTGAGAGGTGCTGGCTGACATCTTTAACTCTTTACTTACCCTGGCAACAGTTCCCACCTGCCTGAAGACAACCACCATCATCCCAGTCCCAAAGAGCTCTACAGTGACTGGTCTGAATGACTACCGGTCATTAGCCCTCATCCCGATAGTTGCTAAATGCTTTGAAAAACTGGTCCTGACCCACATCAAAACTACCATCAACACCAACGAGGACCCTCACCAGTACGCATACTGCAAGAACCGATCTGCAGAAGACGCCTTCTCCTCTGTGGTCCACACTGCTCTCACCCACCTGGAGCAGAAGGACACTTACATCTGTATGCGCTTTGTGGACTTCATGTCTGCCTTCAACACCATGATCCCCCAAACCCTGATGGACAAACTACTCACAATAGGACTAAGCCCCTCCATTTGCAACTGGGTCCTAGACTTCTTAGCAAACAGACCTCAGTCAGTGAGGATCCACAACTACTCCTCCTCCACCATAACCCTCAGCACTGTCTCCCCTCAGGGATGTGTTGAGCCCCCTCATGTTTACTCTGCTCATGTATGATTGTGCAGCTACCCATCCAGGCTGCCACATTGTAAAGTTTGCAGATGATACAGTGGTGGTGAGATGCACCACAAACAATGATGAGTCCAGCTACAGGCAGGAGGTGGAACAGCTGGTGCAGGAAGAACAACCTTCACATCAATGTGAAGAAGACGAAGGAGATGATTGTGGACTTCAGAATGAACAAACACACCTACCCCCACCCCCTGAACATAGGAGGATCTGCGGTGGAGGTGGTCTCCAGCTACAAGTACTTGGGTGTGCACCTGAATGACAACCTCAGCTGGGGCAATGACACTACCAGCCTGATCAAGAAAGCTCATCAGAGACTCTACTTCCTCAGGCGGCTGAGACGAGCTGGTCTGAGATGTTCAGTCCTCACCTCCTTCTACAGGTGTGCAGTGGAGAGCATCCTGTGCTCCAGCATCAACATGCAGCATGGAGGCTGCACAGCTGCAGAAAGAAAAGCTTTGCAGAGAGTGGTGAAGGCTGCACAGAAGATGTTGGAGTCAGCCTCCCCACCATCACAGACATCTACACCTCCAGATGCAGGAAGAGGGCCACCTGCATCATGAAGGACCCCACTCACCCAGCACACACACTTTTTGCCCCGCTCCCCTCAGGAAGGAGGTTGAGGAGCATTAAGTGTAGAACCACTAGACTGAGGAACAGCTTCTACCCTGAGGCTGTTAGACTCATGAATATCTAATCAGGATAATCACTGTGAAAAATCACATCATGTTGCTGCTGATCTGTTTCATGTTGATGTGTTAATTCCTACCCATCTGCTCACACAGACTCATGTTCATGCTGCTGTTCGGCATATTGTTTTTGTTCTACTAGTGCTTAGTGTATTTTTTAGTTAAAACTTTCTTAGTTCATATCTTAGATCTTATTACTGTTTTTTTTTTTTTACATTTTATACTTTTGTTGGATGTAAATGGGACCCTGTGTAGATGATTTTGGTCCACCTCATGTACCACATGTGATGCAAATGACAATAAAGAATCTTGAATCCTTGAATCATACTATATAGATTCCTCAGGTACTTCCTTGAAGAAAACAAATCAGATGAAAGTTCTTCTTCTTTTGGCTTTTTTCTCTTCAGGGGTCATCACAGCAAGTCATCCTCCTCCATCTCACTCTGTCCTCTGTCATCACTCCAACTACTTCCATGTCCTCTCTAAATGCATCCATATATCTCCTCCTCTGTCTTTTTCCTGGCAGCTGCCTTTCTAACATCCTTTTACCAATATACCCACTGTCCCTCCTCTGGACATGTTCAAACCATCTCAGTCTGGTCTCTCTAACTTTATCTCCCAGTTGTTCAACCTGTGCTGTACCTCTGATGATCTCATTCCTAATCTTATCCATCCTTGTCACTCCTAAGGAGAACCTCAACATCTTCATTTCTGCCACTTCCAGTTCTTTCTCCTGTCTTTTTGTCCATGTCTCTGTCTCCTGACCATACGAATGGCATTAATTCCATAAATCTTTAACTAATGTGATGTGACGTTGTTTTTGTCATCTGTTTTAATTTAGTTCTTTTGCATGTGTCTTCTGTGAATGCTGTTGATGTTGCTACCATCAAACTGCTTGTGAATAAGTTGCAGGACAAACTCCCAAAGATCCAACAAGTAGATGTACAACAAGGACAGTCAGCTCAAGTGTAGGTAAGACTGAAGTACACTGTGTTGGTGTTGAACCCACATAGACAGGAAGTACTCCAAGGATCTCCAAGAGAGTGGCAAATTTGACTATGCTTGCACTCAGCTAATCACATTGCTTTTATCAAATATGCTTCAGGATGTTAGATCCTCTACTGACACCCTTTCCATTGGTAGAACTCCCCTTTACTTGGTCTCCATGGTTCATGATTTCCTCACCGCAGGCACCACTGACCAGATGACAACTCTATAAGCCCATTTAACTTACACACTTTGTAGCTCTGTCCCACTGAACATCGCCCCAAAAACTGGCAAAACCTCTAATTTGACGAGAATTTTGATAATCCCTCATGACACCGAATAAAAGACATCATCAGTGTTGGTAATTGGACTGGCAAAAAACACATTAAAGTGCTCATAATAAAAATTATTGTGTGAGTCTGTCAGACTGTCTAAAGGGCTTTGTGCATACCAGACTCACTGAGTGTGTAGAAACCTGCATATTAATGATATAGTAATCCCTTGCTACTTCGTGGTTCGACTTTCACGGACTTGCTCTATCGCAGTTTGCGGATGTACAGTACTGTACATAATATTTTCCCCCCAAAAAAGTGCTGCCATTTTGCAGTTTTCTGTCATTAAGCTTACACAATTTTGCCAGTCTAAAGATTTATGTTGCCCAGAAGCCATCAGTTCACTTCCCAGAAGTCAACACTTCTTCCAACCGCTGCTTTCTGCAAATGGGGGGAAAGTTTTGCAATGCAAAGTCAGAAGTTCTTTAAGGATAAGCTCACAGGACTGGCAGGAAAGTCACAAATAATTCTGAAGCTGAACTCATCCTTCAAGTTGTATCTTCACTGGTGAGTAGCTGCAGCTGATCTGGACTCAGTGTGACCTGGATTCTCGGACCTGCAGGCGACAGATGCTGCGGGGTCAGCCTGGTTCTGGTCGTGCAGTGCTGGTCCAGACTGGGCCAGAGGTGATGGACAAAATCCTGGGCAGCCTTGTGCACGGAGTGTCCTTCCTGGAGCGGCAGCACATGCACATCAAGCTGGATGGGGTGGTGGGCTTCATCATGCTGCATCAAGACTTTTCTTCATCTATCAGGTCGGACGGATCCGAGCTGCTGTTGTTCTGCAGAGCCCTTGTAAGTAAAATTTAGTAGCTACATATAAGTATGTTGTTAAAATTAGTAGGTTTTAAAGTTTAGAAAACTGATTTGTGGGCTTCATCACTGCAGGGTAGTCTGCAGAGACAAACCAAGTTGGAATAGAACAGAGTTGGACCGGAACGAGAGCTGCTGCTATTCTGCAGAGATCGTTAGTAAATTTATACAATACTGTTGTTTAAATGACGTAGGTTTAAGAGCTTCGAAAATCACAAGAGTGTGGAAAGGGTTCTAAATGCTTAATATATACTGTATATAGATACTAAAACAAACTACTACTCACTACTACTACTACTACTACTTGTGTACATAATTTGTTCCATCTCATGTACCACATGAGATGGTAATGACAATAAAGTTACTTGAACTTGTACTACTATCCCTACTTTGCGATTTTTCACTTATTGCGGGGTGTGTGTGTGTGTGTGTGTGTGTAACGTGGTCACGATAAACGAGGGATTACTGTGCTAATGACACTAATAACAAAGCAGGAAAAATGAGAAAGGCTTCTTACAACGATTAGGAAACAATTTTGTTTGACATGACAGGACAAGAACGTACCTTTTGCTTCATTGCAAGGCTTTGAAAAAGAGGCCAGCGTATCAGATGTCACACTTGAGGGTATAGTCTCTCTGGAATTTATAATTTTCACCTCACCTATGAAATGATTAAACATTCTCAGTTATCTCTGCTTCTTATTACTTCAGCTGTAGTAAATGCATGAATGTGTTTGTCACCAGTGCTGTCCATCACTGTGAATATGGAGCCCCCTCCGATCCCCACACTCTGCACATTGATAACAGAAGTGCAGAGAAGTGCAGCGATTGCTGCATCTACAGCAGAGCCTCCTTGTTGAAGGATGTCTCTGAAAAGTTCACATTGATCACTATCAGAGTTGGCTGATGCTAGAAAATATGAGTTTCTGTTTGGCATGTATACAATTTATTCGCTTACTCAGCTACTAAATATTATTTAAAATATATTATGAGCTGATGCTTTAAAAAGCTTGGTATGTAAGCAATACAGATCTCAGGTGGAGCATTAAAAACCACTGAATGGTATGTGTAACAACGGAAGCAACTTAAATTTACTTAAAAAAAAAAAGGCTGTACAAGTTCAAAATAAAACCACTTTTGTTGGATTACCGGTAATTCAGCTACCTGGCTTATTTAAGATATTAAAACATACAGTATATCTTAAGCAGGTGTTTAAAAAAGCTTGGTGTGCAAACAAAGCAGATTTCAGATGAAACATTAAAACCACAAGTGTTAAGTATACCATCAATGAAAAGTATGTATAGTAGTCTAAACACCTTAAAAATGAAACTTGATAAGACAATTAAAGTTTTTTAATCCAATACCATCACTCACCTTCCAATGTTTGAACATGTCTCTGAATCTGCAGCCACAGCAGCTCTTAAAAAAGTGCCTTCCGGACATCTGCGAAGCAAATATACAGCTAAACCCAGAAGCATGGAAACCAATAAATGCAGGATCAAAGCCCAAGCAGTTTTGTAATTTGCCATCGATCATCCCTTCAATGAATTCTAAGCGATCAGTAAATGTCCTTCTGTTCAGAATGTCTCATAAGAAATGTGACATTTGATTAAGCAACAGTGATTAATTATACACTGGCAAAGTTCCACCTCTTCTGCCTCCACCTCTTCTTATAGGGGAATTGCTTTAACTGCATTTAAACTTTAAAATGTGAAGAAGAATACAACTTTAATCTTCATGGAAACATGCAGCATTAATAAATGTGTAATGAATAAAAGCCAGAGTAATGAGACCCCTTCATGTTGGTTTGTAAGAATACCAGCATGCTTCAACTCTGGTGTCAGATGCTGTGCAGCTGGAAAGAATTTTACAGAAACTTCTTTACTTTTGGACATTTGTTATGATGTGTAACCTTAACAACAAGGCGTTTTGTTTGTTTGTTTGTTTTGTTTTAACATCCGGGAGCAGCTGATTAACATCTAAAAGCTCAAATACCTCAACTACAGCCCCAAATCACAAATGAGTTGAAAAAGGAGGTGCTGTGGATGAATTCCTGTCTACCTGGTGGCGGTGCTCAAGTACTTGACTGCTGAGACCCTGGAGCTGGCAGGAGACACGGCACAACAAGAAGACCAGGACCACCCCCGGCACCTGCAGCTGGCTGACTGCAATGACAAGGAGCTCAACAAGTTTCTGGGAGGAGCGACTATCACTCAAGGAGGAGTTCTGCCCAACATTCAGGTGATCCTGCTGCCCAAGAGAACCGAGCGACTCGCCAGGTCCAAGTGGACAGATCAACATCTGCAGCCAGTTTCTTCAGATCCACTGTGAGACCGTCCACTACAAGAGATCCTTCATGCCCACAGCCCCCAGCATCTACAGTATAACAACTCTTTAATAAAACCAGGATAATGAGTTACAACAACATTTAATTTCCCTTTGGGGTAAAGAATTTTGAACTGAACTGAATTCAGTTGTACTTAAAATCAGTTCATGACACACATTTTAAAGATATTTAAATACAATTTATTTATGTAGCCCTTTGAAAAGGATCTGTCATTGGCATAAGTGCTGCACACAAAAACAATAGTTTTACAATAGTTAAAAAATAAAACCAATTAAAACATAACTACACACAAATAAAACCATCAAAATAGAGCACACAATGTCAGCTCTCATGCTGTAATAAAAATCAGTAAATCAGTCAAAGCGTAATTAAAAATGTTGGGTTTTTTCCGGGTTTGGACCTGTAATTACATTTATTTCGTTGGGTCAGGTTCGGAAACGATAGCTATGGGCTGGGACTGGGGCCGAGTCGGGTCTGATTTTTTGGGCCCGAATGCAACTCTATAGTGAGTTATCTTGGTGCAGGTTTGTTTTTCTTTGATTAAATTTTGAACATGAAATCCATGTAAGCTCTTCACTATAGTTTCATTTATTTTATTACCATAAAAAACTTTAAAGAATGTCTTTGTTTGTTGTTGTACATCCATTTATCCACCCACCCATCCAGCTTAAATACTACTAGCACAGTAAAGTTTTAGAACCACTGACCAACACATTACAAGCAGGCTGGCTGAGATCAAAGCTACATTTTAGTGCGACAATACTTCTCTCTAGTGGACATATTACTGTATAACATGCTTTTGTAAAAATCTAATAAAATACAACAGTGTTCGTCTTATGAAGTTCTTAAAGTCATTTTCTCCTTCTGTTTTTGTTTTATTAATCTGTTCTCCAGTCAAGTCTCTGATCTGTCTAAATGATTTATATGCTTTTGGCTCATTTTACTTTCTGGGTCTTGGGGGAGCTGGTGTAAACCCTTTCATCACAATCAAACAAAGCTAAAGATTTCTTTCCAAGGATATAGTTTTGTATTTATTCAATATTCAAACAACCAAGAGAAGAAAGCCATGAGATAATGATGATGAAGAAGAAGGAGAGGAAGAAGCTTTTATCCTAAGACTGTACAGGACAGTGCTATCAGTACGGTCCCACAGACTCACATTTTTTCTGCCCACAACAATGGAAACAAACAGATAAACAAAGACTGATCTGTTTCCTCTGATGAGCCAATCCTCAGTCATTGTCAAACTCTGTCTACTCATTATTTCCTCAGTGAAACACTCAGTACAGAAGAAACATCCATCCATCCATTATCTTTTACCCACTTCTTCCTTTTTCAGGTCACGGGGGTCATGGCACTCATATCCAGCAGCCACTGTGCGAGAGGCGGGGGGCACCCTGGGCAGGTCTCCAATCCATCACAGCAACACACAAGACAAATCATTCACTCTCACTCACACCTAGGGACAATTTAGAGTTATAATCAGCCTAACATGCATGTTTTTGGTCTGTGGGAGGAAACAGGAGTACTTGGAGAAAATCCACGCATGCACGAAGAGAACATGCAAACACCACACAGAAAAGCCTCGAACCGGGATTTGATCTGGCGACCTTCTCGCTGAGAGGTAACAGCTCTGCTAACTGTGCTGTAATTCTGATAATGCCATTTAAAATTATTTTTTCCACTTATCCTGATGCATGTTCAATAATCCAGGTAGAAAAATCTAAAAAAATAAAACCTGATCCTCTGGACATTCAAAAAACAAACAAAACAAAAAAAAGTAGAAACATTTCGTCTCTCATCTGAAAGACTTCTTCAGTCTGAGGTGCTGTATTCAGTTCAGTCTTATAAATAGCACCTTCTCAGAGTGGATCAACCAGTTTTGCTGCTGACAACCAAAACCAGCTGATCACATGGTCAAGAAGGACCATCAGCCTAACAATGGATCATTAGCACACTGATGGCTGTTTACTATTCACAGAGGGCTGAGTGATGTTATTGCTAGTATCACTCAGCCCTCTGTGAATAGTAAACATCTCAATCCTGCTAGTGCCAGCATATCGTTCGCTGATGAGAAGGATTAGGCCAACAAAGAAGACAGTCACTGTGTGGCCCAGGGATGTAGATTCTGCGCTCCAGGACTGTTTTCAGTGCACAGATTGGCAGGTCTTCAGAGAGACAAATACATATGAGGGAGAGGTGGACCTGGAGAAATACACCTCCTCTGTTCTTGGCTTCATCTCCAAGTGTGCTGATGATGTCATCACCACCAGTAGCCTGTTATCCGAATCAGAAACCCTGGCTGAATGCTGAGGTAAGATCTCTGCTGAAAGCTAGGGACGCTGTGTTCAGGACAGGTAAGGTATCATTACTCCGAGAGTCAAAGAAAAGACTGACTACAGGCACTGCAAGGGCCAAAGCCACATACGCCCAGAAAATTCAGGGTCACTTCATCACCAACGATCCCCGGCACATGTGGAAGGGCATCAAGTGCATTACAAACTACAACATTAGGGATGTACAATTCCCAAGGGACCTCTCTTTGTCACATGCATTCAATAAGTTCTATGCTCGCTTTGAGGATCCTAACTTAGGTATTTTTCTATTCCAATCAGTTTTCTTACATAAAAATAAACAAATAATTTTCAAGTCAAAAGAACAGTTGCAAACCAGTGACACGTCAGTGTCTAATGCTCACTGCTACACACTGAGGACTTTTTCAACAAGCCCGCTCCTGGCTGATGGTGTCTCCAGCAGTAGAAAATGTTCACTCTGAGGGTGTGGATGATGCTTGTTGCACACACAGATAGGTTGTCAAGTTTGATAGCACTGACATATTGTCCCTCACATCCCACCACCAGGTCACTAGATTCACTGAGGTTAGGTTTGATGCAGACATCTGCACCTCTGTGTCTCTGCCTGAATCTTCTGTGATTCTCTGGTTTAGGGTTCTTATCATCTCCCTAATTGACACTAGAACACAAAACATCAACAGTAACATGGTTGTGTTATTATTGCTCAAAAACCATTATCTAGGCTGAGAGATAAAAGCTTAACTAGTCAACAATATCATTTAAAGCTTACTTACCTCCACCATGGAGCCTCCACTGTAAAAAAGGGCAGCAAACTTTTAACAACAAAGTTTGTGACTGTCCTGTGGCCCCTACCTCACTTTTCTTTTGTCTGTCTCTGTCCTCCTCACGTCTGGGTCAGAGGCTCCTGTGAGGCGAAACAGTGAGCATTAGGTGAACTGTTTAAGCAGCTGACCCGATGGATGAGCACATTTTTACAAGCTAAGCTTTATCTGTTAGTGTCAATCTTTAGTTAGCTTTGATTTTAGCTAGCTACATAGCCATAAAATAAAGCTACACACTAATATCTTAAAGTTAGAATTACATGGATCCTATAGTTTAATTCACCGCGATGCACGTATTAAGCTGCAGTAACGTTAACAAACGTAAACTTACCAGCTGAAATCCCAGACACAGCGTCGTCCTCGGAGTTCTTTGATGAAGAGGAGTCCGGTCGTGGAATGTTGAACTAGGTCGTTCATGCTCTCTAACACTCACAGGCTGACTTTAACGCTGAGAGGAGGAGGGGAGGCTGCAATCCTTCTCTCCAGAGCCCTGTAAAGAGAGAGTTGCGACACTCCCATAGACTCCCATAGAAAGAATGGAATGCGGAAGTCACGTGGGTCATGCAGCGGCAAAAAGTTCCAAACAGCAGCGGGTTCAGCATTGAACGTAGTTCATTTTCCGTGTTTTTCCGGTAAGTTAATGCAAATGCGACACTTTCTCCATTGTGAAGCGTTATCTGACTGTTTTGTACCTCAATTTATCAACATTAATACTTCATGTTGCCAGTTTTAGTTAATGAAACATGTTAAATTGCTAGTTGTGTTTTAACTGCAGCTGCTCTGCAACATGACAGTTTAAATGGGTCTATTTCTAATTCAACGTTTTAAAATATCTATTACTGCTTAAATTTTGAAAGGTGGTCTTTTTTAAATTTATGGTAATTCCAGTTACTGAACTCAACTAGAAAATATTTGGCCTTTTTTTCCTGAGAGATTCATTCAACCTTTATTTCTACAGGTAAATCCCATTGAGCCTCGAGGACTCATTTACAAGA